TTTTTTGTAAACATGTTAAAATGTTTCTTTAATACATAATATTTGAGGGGCCCTTGGGACCAAAAAGTTTGAAAAAGAAAGTAAAATGAGAGAGACAGAATGGTTTTTTTAACCATTATTTATGCATTTATTTATTTATGTATTTTTGAAAAACAAACATAGCAAGATGCACAAGTTCTATCTTACAAACTAATAAGCGTAATAGTGATAGTAGAAACAAACAAAAGCAACAACAACAAAGCAGCTCTTTATAAGGCCAGTAAATGTTTCCTTGTTGCATTGGGTTTGTAGATATGTGTTTGTGTATGTATGTGTTTGTGAGTGTGTGTATTTGAGTGGATGTGATGGAAAGAGAGACAGACACTGTCATCTATGCAGTAGTGGTAATGTGATATATACCAGATGCTCTGCAAAGTGTTGGTGTAACAGCAACTGTCATCTAATACAGTGTAGTAGCAAAACCACAGGCTGCCTCTCCTGCAATGAAGATGGCATTGTTGTAGAATATATTAGGGCTGAGAAACACTGTCATCTTCAAGAGATCAGTGTGTTAAAGATGTAGAACTATTGGCTTTTAATAGCTACTCACAATAAAGTAATATCACACACTTTTATACAACAGTTTAGTAATCAAGTATTTTATATTTATATATATATATATTTAATCTGCCAACAAGAATAGCATAGCATTAAGCTTTGTGTGCCACGGACTGGAACACAGTATGTGAGTGGACTGGAGTGACAACAGCGTTCTGTAATCTCTCTTCCCCATTACATGAACCTTCGACATTACACTGAGTAACATAAGCTACAGCTTTTGTTTTCTCCATAACTGCCACGTCTCTGGAGATTCAAACCCCTCCACTAGCCGAGTAGCAGATCCATGAGATTGATGTCTGTCTGAGGGCGGATAATCAAAAGCCTAAAATCAAAGCGATGTGTGCCACAGGCATTGATATTGATAAGTGTTAGTGTCCCCTTACGCCTCTTCATTACTCAAAATCTAGTCCTCTGTTCTCTGGAGAAGGTTAAAGGCTGCTGCTAATTATTAATGTAAATGTGTTATTTTCATACAGCCTATGAAATATTCATGTTCTTGCACACCAGCAGGCATCAATTTGCACTGTAGCTTATGTGCATTTTAGTGGTGTGGGATGTGTATGGAGGGACACACTTCTATTGCAACAATGGTGGAAATGAAATTAACTCATTTCCCAGATGCCTAAAGCAGATTTAGATTTTTTTTTAAGTGCTGTGCATAGACTAGATAATTATTTTTATGGTCTCTAATGGGATCAGATGCTTTAACTATGCCATGGTGAATTGATCTGAGGTGTAGCCATTGGGCCAATATCTTTTATAGATTATAGACAGCAATATCCCCTCCTCGCTCAAAGCAGTCTGTAATTGCTGTACTCTGTTTTTTTTTAAGTTTGCTCATTCATGTTGCCTTTTTATAAACACTGATACAGGTTATTTTTATGTTTATTTAAATAAATGAAAACCAATATGCAGAATCAATAGATTTTTTTTTCAGATTTTCAGACAAAAAAGAAAATATAATAAAAAACGTCTCAGGTTACTTATGTAACCATGGTTCCCTGAGTAGGGAACGACACACTGCGTCCTCTAGGGGTCGCTATGGGGAACGCCTCGTCGTGACCCGTGTCTGAAGCATAAATTGAAAAAAACACCAACAACACGTTGGCCGGCGACAGCCCATGACGTCACTATCGGTGCGACTATAGTATAAATAGGCGCCAGGAGAACATGTCATTCACTTCTTCGTCTGAAGCTTGCGTTCGAAGCATGGCAGTAAGCCTAGAGGACGCAGTGTCTCATTCCCTACTCAGGGAACCATGGTTACATAAGTAACCTGAGACGTTCCCTTTCAAGGACCCCTCTAGGGGTCGCTATGGGGAACGATATACCCACGATCTTACAAACTAATAAGCGTAATAGTGATAGTAGAAACAAACAAAAGCAACAACAACAAAGCAGCTCTTTATAAGGCCAGTAAATGTTTCCTTGTTGCATTGGGTTTGTAGATATGTGTTTGTGTATGTATGTGTTTGTGAGTGTGTGTATTTGAGTGGATGTGATGGAAAGAGAGACAGACACTGTCATCTATGCAGTAGTGGTAATGTGATATATACCAGATGCTCTGCAAAGTGTTGGTGTAACAGCAACTGTCATCTAATACAGTGTAGTAGCAAAACCACAGGCTGCCTCTCCTGCAATGAAGATGGCATTGTTGTAGAATATATTAGGGCTGAGAAACACTGTCATCTTCAAGAGATCAGTGTGTTAAAGATGTAGAACTATTGGCTTTTAATAGCTACTCACAATAAAGTAATATCACACACTTTTATACAACAGTTTAGTAATCAAGTATTTTATATTTATATATATATATATTTAATCTGCCAACAAGAATAGCATAGCATTAAGCTTTGTGTGCCACGGACTGGAACACAGTATGTGAGTGGACTGGAGTGACAACAGCGTTCTGTAATCTCTCTTCCCCATTACATGAACCTTCGACATTACACTGAGTAACATAAGCTACAGCTTTTGTTTTCTCCATAACTGCCACGTCTCTGGAGATTCAAACCCCTCCACTAGCCGAGTAGCAGATCCATGAGATTGATGTCTGTCTGAGGGCGGATAATCAAAAGCCTAAAATCAAAGCGATGTGTGCCACAGGCATTGATATTGATAAGTGTTAGTGTCCCCTTACGCCTCTTCATTACTCAAAATCTAGTCCTCTGTTCTCTGGAGAAGGTTAAAGGCTGCTGCTAATTATTAATGTAAATGTGTTATTTTCATACAGCCTATGAAATATTCATGTTCTTGCACACCAGCAGGCATCAATTTGCACTGTAGCTTATGTGCATTTTTAGTGGTGTGTGATGTGTATGGAGGGACACACTTCTATTGTAACAATGGTGGAAATAAGATGAACCCATTTCCCAGATGCCTAAAGCAGATTTAGATTTTTTTTTAAGTGCTGTGCATAGACTAGATAATTATTTTTATGGTCTCTAATGGGATCAGATGCTTTAACTATGCCATGGTGAATTGATCTGAGGTGTAGCCATTGGGCCAATATCTTTTATAGATTATAGACAGCAATATCCCCTCCTCGCTCAAAGCAGTCTGTAATTGCTGTACTCTGTTTTTTTTTAAGTTTGCTCATTCATGTTGCCTTTTTATAAACACTGATACAGGTTATTTTTATGTTTATTTAAATAAATGAAAACCAATATGCAGAATCAATAGATTTTTTTTTCAGATTTTCAGACAAAAAAGAAAATATAATAAAAAACGTCTCAGGTTACTTATGTAACCATGGTTCCCTGAGTAGGGAACGACACACTGCGTCCTCTAGGGGTCGCTATGGGGAACGCCTCGTCGTGACCCGTGTCTGAAGCATAAATTGAAAAAAACACCAACAACACGTTGGCCGGCGACAGCCCATGACGTCACTATCGGTGCGACTATAGTATAAATAGGCGCCAGGAGAACATGTCATTCACTTCTTCGTCTGAAGCTTGCGTTCGAAGCATGGCAGTAAGCCTAGAGGACGCAGTGTCTCATTCCCTACTCAGGGAACCATGGTTACATAAGTAACCTGAGACGTTCCCTTTCAAGGGAACTTCGAACTGTGTCCTCTAGGGGTCGCTATGGGGAACGATATACCCACGCCGCCATGCTGAGGGGAGTGCGGGCCAGAACCATGGTGAGCACTAAGTACCAACTTTACCATTTTCATGGTGAGTTGCCCCTGGGACGTCAGACGGCTGTCTGTGACTTTATCCCCTACGGCCAAAGGCCTAGGCTACATACCCAACTTACCTGTTAGGGCCAGACTCCTGGGCCCAGGGTAGAGCTCAAGGCTTGGAATCATAATGG